GTGTGTGCGTGCGTGCGTGCGTGCGTGCGTGCGTGCGTGTATGGGCACGCATGTCTGTGTGCGTCTGCGTGTGTATGTACTTGCGTGTGCGCGTCTGTGTCTAAGCATTTTTATACTTGTTAATGAAGAATTGCTCAGCTATCTATTAATCGCATGTAGCTAGTAGTTCCACTAATCTATTATGTAGACGTGTAACCCTAACTCATGTCTGGGAATCAAGTTGCTATACTAATGATATTTTTGTAGCTGTGAAATATTGCTGTAATGGTTTGTGGGGGCGAGCTACACGTAATTACAAACACCATTTCCGATTTCACTTAGTGTTGTCATACTAAATTTTAGTTTTTAAGCCTAATTCCCGTTTATTAACATCGTCCGAGTTTATACGTCATACCTCTACTCCGCTTGTATAAATGCCATTTATGACATTTCTCATTCTAGAGATTGCCACAAATTTCTTCGCAGACTAGATCTCTTCCGTTTTTCATCAAACTAGATTATTAGCCATTGAGCCAATCTACGGAACAATGGCTGCCTTCAGAAATGCGGTCCATCTAACGCCACTGATGACAGAATGATCAATCTTGTACCAACAGTCTCTTCGATTAGGTTTATATAATATGTGTGTTGATGGGGATCTTTATTCTGCTAAATTCAGTAACAACGCCTGACAATAGCAATTTATTTTCTACTTTCAGTTGGGAGAATTAAAGTTAATAGCGCCATAAATAAAACGCTAACGTGGCGGACACTAGAAGATGAGTTATCGTACGTGCAGCACGGTGGTGAGTGGCGCCCTCAGGACTCGCCTGCTCTCTGCTTGCCGCGCCACAAGGTGGCCATCATTGTTCCGTACAAGAACAGAGAAGATCAGCTGCTAGCCTTCTTACGTCACATCCATCCGTTTTTACAACGACAGCAGATTCACTACGGCATATACGTTGTTGAGCAGGTATGGCGATTACAGGTAGCTAGAGTCCACGGGCCTACCGATATATGGCTGTACACGTATATGTCAACAATTTAATATTAAAGGGGGTATTACCTGGATCGCACTACTGGGAAAACTGTTGAGCACATTAACTATTCACCATATTCGAGTTGATCTCCATCTATCAGCGCATGCTGTGTGACAGCGGCAAGCGCAGCTGCACTTCCCCAAGAACTCCTCTAAACGATGGCACAACATGTTAAGGTTGCTAGTGTCAACAGCAACCCCCTATAAAGGCGGTTGAAGTCGCTAAGCAACATAATTGTATGAGTGTCTGTAATACATCCACGAAAACAATGCACAAGTTCTTCCTGGTTAATCTTGTAGAAGCAATAGTGGCATTGGCTCAATTATCAGTCAGTACTTCTAGCCGATCCTTCCTCGTTAGTTCAGAGCGTCAGAATCATCCTTGTGCGTTCTGAGAATCTAGACATCATATCACCTCGCTATTATACACTGCCCGTGCCTCCACCGTACCTTTAATGCGGAGAAGCGCGTGGAGCAACCGTAACCTAGGTGTTGTACCTGCGTGCTTTCCATTGTACAGGCAAACACTACGGAGGAGTTCAACAAGGGTCGCCTGATGAACGCCGGCTTTGTAGAAGCGATGCGACAACACAATTGGACGTGTGTGATCTTCCACGATGTCGACCTGCTACCTGAGAACGACCTTAACACGTACCGCTGTGACCTTCACAACGTCCGCCACATGACGGTCGCCGTGGACCGCTACAAGTACACGTACGTGAGTAACAGCTATAGCGTATATAGACGTAGATGTAACGCTACACATGTATACTATCTATGCTGGATCCGGACGCCTGTATACAGGTTGTAATAGCATACACATGTAACGTTTAAATTACAAGTTCGATGTATAAATAATGAAGAAGGAATCCAAACTTGTGTATTAAACTGCATAAACTTTAATATCTTGCACACGTCACATCTCCTTGCACACATGCAGGGACAAAACAACGCGCGTGTTACTCCCGTCTCCACAACCAGACCTTTTCTCTCCACTCTCTACCTCTCTATACTATCTATACTACTCTATACTATCCTATACTACTCTATACTATACCAGTAGTACACCTATAGCAGTATACCTAGCAGTATACCAGCAGTATACATACAGCAGTATACCTACAGCAGTATACCAGCAGTATACCTATAGTATATCCTATACTATCCTAGGACTACTCTATACTATCCTATATATTACCCCCAAAACCCCTACATCCTGAGCGCACATGTACCCGTTCTCCCAGACCGCGTCCTACCCCCATTTCACAATGACCCCAGAAACGCCCGACCTAAAACACGTTTACCATTCTCCCCATAACAACAATCCAGCCGCACAAGATGCGCGACTCTTCGTTTACACAGACCACCACCAAAACAACCCCCAGCCCAGCCTCGCTGACTAATTCATGCAACACCTGCAAAACACATGTTAAAGTATCTCCCCCTTCCCCAAGACGATGACTACCCTGTCATCGATTCAGCGTTCCCGCTGATCTACACTTCAACCTAAACCTAAAAAAATAAAAAATAAATTACTACCCTAATACTTTCCTAACTCAACCCAATGAGAGAAACGTCTTTATGTCCGATTAAACAACCCACAATCAATACACAAACATAACAACAATCAAAATACAATAAGAAAACACATATGAAGCATAAGGCTTCCTATACAAAACAAGTAAAGATAAAGTTCGATCACCATACAAGTCAGAAATCCAACACATTTGGCAGTGAACATTTTGATATCGCTGCAATTACTCTCACTCTTGTGTCTTTTTATGCTGTAACGTACGTGGCGTATGCGTATACCGACACGCATAACCTAAACCACGTTTAGCCATGTGCTCCATTCATAATGCTAATTTAAACCTCTTAATCCCATTATTACACACAGCACCGATGTGGACCTGACAACCTTTGTCAGTTCCACACATCATACAGTCAACAAAAATACACAAAACTGATTTCATATTTTCGATAAAATGTTTTAGGCCTATCAAACTCTAATTGAAGAATGTGTTTAGCAGTCTGACAATATAGCGTAAACGTACCGTTAGCACAAATTCAAGAAAACGATCACACATTTTTACACAAAGTTTCACACAAAAGATTTTCCACACAAAGACAACGGTCACAAGCATATACCATGAAAAAAAATCCGCGTATATAAAACAAAGAAAAACATATAAAAATACACATTCCTGACGATGTCACACCTTTCACGTCTAGTTTCGACGGCACGAGATTAAAGCTTCCACCAATTAAATTCTAGAATTCCCTGGATTATTTTTTTTTAGCCATTAATGTTCGCAATTTATCTTTCACGTCCTCTGTCTCTGCTCTGTCAGCCTTGCCTTCTCTGTTCTGCTCTCCTCTCTCTTTCTCCCACACATAGGTCGAGACTCGGACTTGCCCTCGCAGTATCGCGGATGCAACACCGGCCCTTCCTTCCTTCACGCTGACTTACTCACATAGTTCTCACGCGGTGTGTATCCACCGTTCTCTCTCCCGCGTCTCGCTTCTTCGTCTCTGTCGATCGCTCTCCATCGTTCTTCGTTTCTCCTACTGTTGCTCCTGTTTCCGTCTCTCTCTTTCTTTCTCTCTCTTCCTCCGTCTCTCTTGCTCTCTCATCCGCTCTCCGTTTCTCTCTCTCCAGTTTTCTTGCCAGCGGTGTACCCAGCGACTCCTCCTGTGGCATCTTCCTTGCGTAGTATGGCCCGTAGATCAACATAACGGATCGAGTACCTTACGTTGCGTCCGCAAAGGAATACCCAAGTTTTTGACTGTCACTGGCACCATAATGTAACGTTGAATTGAAGGTCCAATGTATAAAGGATGATATAGAAATCCAAACTTGTGTGGTAACCCGAATAAACTTTAATATCTTACCGTTGCGTTTGCGAGAGGAAGCACTTTCTTTGTGCGCGTTTCTTTGTTCATTTGTGAAAACTGTCAGATGTTGGTCGGTGGGGCCCCCGGCGCCGATGGTCTGGTCCTGGGCCTGAGAATGTTGTCGTACACGTGACAGTGTGCATTATTCTCAGGCCCAGGACCAGACCATCAGCTCCGGGCGCCCCACCGACCAACATCTGACAGTTTTCGGGTCACTGTCACCTACTGCCATCGGGTGACGAATTTCGAAGTTCTGAAGATAGCTGTCAGAACGATAGCTGAAACTGTCAAGGTAAATAATTTAAGGATTTAACCATGAACAATGATGTTATTCATGTTTTAAAAGAAATCCGACTATAAATCCGACTATAATCCGACCAAAATTTACAATACAGTTTTTTCCTTACAGAATCGGCTACTCAGCCCATATGGGCGGAGTGGTCGCGTTCACGCCAGAACAGTTTAAAACGGTGAACGGCTATAGCAATTTATTCTGGTTGTGGGGAGGCGAAGACGACGACATGCGGAACAGGTACGCCATCTACATCCGTATGGTTGGCTACATTTACATTAAAAATTTATTTAATTTAGGAAGTGTCATTGCGAGAAGAATGTTATTTATCGCAACTATACATCCACAAGTCAATGTCAAAAGTTACTGCTTCTGCCTGCTGCTGCTGCTGTTGCTGCTTGCTGCCTGCTGCTGCTGCTGTTGCTGCCTGCTGTTGCTGCTGCTGCTGCTGCCTGCTGCTGCTGCCTGCTGACTGCTGCTGACCATATGCCAACGTTGGCTCAACGTCATGCAGCCAACCACTTGACAACCGTGACCATGCCAACCATACGCCAACGTTGGCCCAACGTCATGCAGCCAACCATTTCCAGCTAGCATCATGCCAACCATGCGCCAACGTTGGCCCAACGGCATGCAGCCAACCACTTGCCAACCGTGACCGTGCTAACGTTGGCCCAACGTCATATTGCCAACCGTGACCGTGCCAACCAAATGCCAACGTTGGCCCAACGTAAGCATGCTATCTGGGAAGCGAAAACGCAATATATAGAGTTTGATAATTAACGCGTTTATGTACTATTAATCAGCATAATATACGAAGAGATTTGAATAGAATGAATAGTCTAGGTTGTCGAAGAGAGGAATATTTACTTAGAAACGAGTTGCGTCAGCAGGGGAGACAATCGTACCAGCCACGGAATCTGCGTGGGGAGTAGTGTTATGACGACGCGTCCTTAACAACGGAACGAAGGGGGGCGTTACCAGCTAGGTATATAAGGCGCGCCGGACCGCAGCACAAGAGTGTGTTATTTTTCAGGTTAGGTAGGAAGAAGACCAGAAAGAAGGAGAAGAAGAAAACATTTTAGGTCCCCAGGAGATAGAAGAGGGAATAGGAGAACTGGGTTTCAGGTAGGTAGAACTACGGGTACAGGGAATAAAACGGGAAGGAGAGAAGCACGAGATTTCAGGACGGTAGTGCCAGGAGCGACTACGAGGGAGACACCCTTGGAGGCTACCTAGGTCTACGCGAAGAAAGGACGACGGGGAGAGGGGAAGGCGAAGCCGGCGACGCGTTAATTCTTTAATATTAGTCTAGTTATAAGTTGAACAACGTAACAGCGCTTCACGCTGCACGGATAATCGCGATAACGGCGAACCAGATAACTTATAACGCAAGCTAAGTAGCGCGTAAGCTACATATAGGAGATAAATACAGATCCGCGGCATCTACGAATGCAGAGGAATTATTCGTAAGCTAGCAAGAAACAATAAAACTATAACCGTACAGTTAACCGAATATAACGGTGTTCTGTTTCACTGGTACAACCTGTTATACGCTACTGCATCACCGTCCTGCCTAACGGCAGGAGCGAACAATGAATCCACACAACTAAACACGCGTTAACTATATAACGCCTGTCATACCGTAGTCGGCTACCCCTAGGGCCACTACACGGCTCAATGATATCAATAAAAGCCGATTTNATTCCAACCGGACAATGCGAACGCATACGTCAAGGGGCCAACGCATGCACGCAACCACTTGCCAAGCGGACATGCAAACCAATACCACCAACGTTGCCCAACGCATGCAGCCAACTATTTGCTAACCGTGACCATGCCAACCATCTCCACCAACGTGCCCACGTCATGCAGCCAACCATTTGCAACCGGCACCATCCGACAAACGTCAACGGAACAAAGTCATGCAACCACCATCTGCCACGTGACCATCCGAACCATATGCCAACGTTGCCCATCGCATACAGCCAACCACTTGCCACCGTGACCACGCCAACCAACACCAACGTGCACCAAGTCATACAGCCAACCACTGTCCAACTAGTCATCATCAACCATACCCAACGTTGCCCAACGTCATGCACAACCACTTGCAACAGCATCATGCCAAACATAACGCCAACGTTGCACCACGTATTACCAACCACTGGCCAACTAGCATTGTGCCAAACCATACGCCAACGTTGCGCAACGCCAACCAACCAACGCCACGTGCCCAACGCATGCAGCCCAACCACTTGCCAACCGTGACATGCACGAAATCAACGTCAGTTACTATCCGATATACGAAACGACCAGGGTACCCCCCGATACGGAACCACCGAGACAAACCACTCCAACCAACCGATCCAGGACGAGTCGCTACGCCACTCCCTACTCTAACCTAACCATATCAAGCATATACCAGGTACTCCGCCATAACCAGAACCATAGACCTTATCTGCGCCAGGACACACGACATATACGACCAGTGACACTGGACCAGTTACGATGAGAAACATTACATAACTGTACAGTGCATGTTATTGTGCATGAAACGACAGAACATGTCCACGACACGTCCACGTAATACAGCAACGACTACTTAGCTGACGCGGGAGTGTGAGTCTGACTGTTGCAGTACTGTTAGCATTCACAGAGCCTCAAGCAATATACACGAAAACGGGATCCTAACAGTGATGTTACATTGTATGCGTAACACTACAACACATACATACTATTACTAATTTGTGACATGTTAATACAATAACAGGCTGGAGTCACAAAGGAAACTAGCGCGTGATCAAGCCGACAGCAGCATTCACTGGGGTCATGGCATATAGCGGGACGAATCAGAGGTATAAATCTAAACGGAATCCTAAACCAACAGTAAGACGCACAGCAAAGTATCACTCCATCTACAATCGAAACGTATAAATCCAAAAATAGTAACCATCATCATATCACTCCACCATTAAAATTAGAGTTAGATGAAATATAATGATCCATTGATAATGTATATGGACGAGAATCATGGAACGGAAAGTTCAAACTCACAATAAGATACCAATAAAGTGTCGCGTAAAGTCGAAACGATCGATAAAATGAAATAACATAGCAGCACACGTTACAGGCACTGCAAAAAAAATGACAAACGCATATTAGGGGTATGAATCAACCATCAGACTCCGAAACGTTCTGGACAAATGGAGCGAAAAAAGTTAAGACTCGAAAACCCTGAATCTGGTTGCAATCTCGGGCTTATATCATTAAATTGTGCAGCGCTATGATTCAAAATATATGCCAGACATTGCAATATCAATCAACATTAAATCATGGGTCCATAATGTTGGTAATCACAGTTAAGATGCACTGGCACTACTCGTCAAAACCTCGAACCAAAAAAGTTACAAAACTTATATCCTGCGATCTGGTATGATACATCTGTTTAAAGCACACAGAGTGCCAAAGAAACAAAACCCCACAGCCCATCAATTGGTCGAAACGTCCATCGTTGTCAAACTTCCAACAAACTCGTTGTTCCTCCCACGTTCGGCAGATCTGCGTTCCACACTGGTTACGAAGTTTGCGAGCGTCTGGTGAACAGGACTGACGCGTGACCCACTCACCGGATTCACGACCACCAAGCATGATGAGAATACAGGAAGGATATGAGATTAATATTATTTATATGCGTATACAAAGCAGCACGTTCGATACGAAAACGACTAACATAAAATGAAAAAAAAAATGGTACAATAAAATATAGAAAACAGTTAACTATACTATACTGTAGATCAGACGTAACGACGCCCTCTCTAGATAGAACAGCCTGAAGCCGCGATATCAGTGAATGCTCAATTCATTAAACAAACACAGGCTATGCAAAAGAAAGACAATAGAGCATACAGCCGTACACCACAACACACAACATACAGACAAGCCGAGCTCCACAAAAACACCAGTACAGAATCAGCCGTAGCAACACAAACAAAACAGCAACAGTTACAGAGAGCACCGAACACCACAACACACCAACATACATAGCAGCCGTAGCATCCACAACAACGCAACATACAAGAGCAGCGTAGCATCCCCACACAACACAACAGTATCAGAGCAGCGTACACCACACAACACAGCAGTTACAAGAGCAGCCGAATCCACAACAACACAACAAAAATTACAGAAGCAGCCGTAAGCATCCACAACAACAGCCGACCGTTACAGAGCAGCCCGACACACAACAACAGAAAAAAAAAAAAAAAACACAAAAAAAAAAAAAAAAAAAACAAAAAAAACAGCAGTTACAAGACAGCCGAGCACCACACAAACAGCAAACAGTTACAGGACAGCCGAACAGCCCACAACAACAGCCAGATCAAAACACCGGGTACATCACAAACAACAGCAACAGACAAAATAGCACCGACCATCCACAACAACACCCATTACAGACAAAGCCGTAGCACACCAACAACACAGCAAGCATCAAGCATCCCAGTACTCACAACAAACCAGCACCATACAGGACACCGGTAGCACCACCACAAACACAGCATAACAGACACCCGACACCACAAACAACACAGCATACAGGAGCAGCCGGACATCCACAACAACAGCATACAATAGCAGCAACAACCGCACAATAGAACATGCACACTAGCATACAACCAGCATACAACAAAAACACACCACAAGCAACAGCAGGCAGCATGCAGCAATAAGCTAGTTGCATTGACGTCAATCGCATTCCGGGCTCTGCAGCCCGGACCGGACTCAGCACTGACATACCCCGAGCCCACACGACTATAAGGGAACCACCAGCAACGTCGCACCACTGCGGCCTCCCACTCCCCACCGCCTCGTTCTCACTCCCTCTCTCCTACCACTCTCCTTCCCTTGTTCTCCTTCCCTCTCTTACTGCGCTCCCAAATCCTATTGCTCCTTCCCTCTCTCCCACGCTGCCCCTCCTCACCCGCTCCTCCTTCGTCCACCTACACGCCTCTCTCCACCCCTCCTCCTTTTCTTCTCCTCCGTCCTCCTGCCTGCCCTCCTCCTCTCCTCTCCTCATTCCACTCTCCTCCATTCTTTCCCTTCGCTCTCCACCTGCCACTCCATCTGGTTGGCTGCATGGCGTTGGGCCAACGTTGGTGTATGGTTGGCATGGTCACGGTTGGCAAGTGGTTGGCTGCATGACGTTGGGCCAACGTTGGCATATGGTCGGCATGGTCACGGTTGGCAAATGGTTGGCTGCATGACGTTGGGCCAACATTGACGTATGGTCGGCATGGTCACGGCTGGCAAGTGGTTGGCTGCATGACATTGGGCCAACTTTGGTGTATGGTTGGCATGGTCACGGTTGGCAAGTGGTTGGCTGCATGACGTTGGGTCAACGTTGGCGAATGGTTAGCATGGTCACGGTTGGCAAATGGTTGGCTGCACGACGTTGGGCCAACGTTGCTGTATGATTGGCATGATACTAGTTACAAAGGGTGCTCATTTTAATACTAGTTTACGGGTGCCGTGACATGTTATAAATTGTTACAGGATATGCACCATGGTGCACTACAGCATTTGTGTTGCAGGGCATTACCTATAGCTAGATTAGTAACATATATATTGGCACCGTTTAAATCATAGAATTCTAGCTACAAACACCTTTCTACACCAAATAAAACTAACTGATTATGACAAATGTACTTTCTGTCAACAAGAAAAAGAATCTTTATTACATCTCTTTCATGACTGTACAATAGTAACCAATATTTGGCAACAAATCCAATCATGGATCATTGATAATACAGGTATTAAAATAAACTTAACAAACAAACTAAAACCAAGAAATACGAAATTTTTTAATTATAGTTATAAAATTTCATATCTATAGATGCAGGTGTCGAAACACTATACCATTTTTGTTAGATATGAAAAGAGAAATGGAATTTTTATATAATGTTGAAAAAAATATTGCATTCCAAAATCTCACACTTGAAAAATCACCCAGCGATGATGCCTTTTACTGCCCCCTCAATAATACTTTGTTCCTATGCCCCTGAGTGTAACAGTTATAGAAATCATAATATATAGTGTCTCTAATATTTCTATGATAACAGCTTATGTTCGCATAACTGGTAAATGGATACGCACGGCCATAGCTACATGATATATGTTAAGATTCAAGATGAAAAGTAAATATTATATATTATATGGTACTAGTTATTATCTATTCGTTTAACAAAGTTACATGAGAATAAAATCTAATTTAAACTAGGCCTATAGTTGCCGCGAGATGGCGCGTGCAAGTGTAATCAATAATCAAAGATGGCATCTGCCCTCATTCCTGAAATCCTACAGTAGGTACAGGCTAAAATCCAAGTAAGTATATTCAGGCAGGCGATAATTTGAGTGTGCTGTGAGTTAATCAGCTGTGAGTTAACACGTGCATTGCAGGTTGGCAGGCAACAATTATGATTAGAAGCGTGCCCGTGTTTTTGCCTCATGCGAGCATTCACTGATTCATCATTCAGCCTTCAGGCCCAGTACAGGGGCAGGGTGCTATAGACAGACTGCTTTAGAAAATGATATGATTTAAGGAGCGTAAACCTT